CTTGACATGACAATTTGCCCCCACGCCGCTACCACATTGTCCCCTGAGAGCCACTGGAGAGTGCTTGGCAGGGAGAAGCAAAGCCACTTTCCGCAACTGGCGACAGTCCTTCTCACCGCGGACTCCAACACGTGCGGACGTGGACTTACATTGAAAAAAAACACAAAGGTTTTGCTAGTTTCACCCGTACGCGCCCTCTTTGTCGGTCTCGGGGGGATCGGCAATTGTGGGGCCCCTTCCCACAACATTTCCGCTGAGTGGTTGCAGTGGGTAGGGGACAAAGGGCATTACATTGAATTCAGTCGTTCCTTTGCCTACCTTCTTGTTAGGACTCAAAAAGGTGCACAAAGACGCACCTTCGGAGGACCGGCAGGGGCGTTACGTTGCGCTATGTGCCGGCTTTTCGATTTGACAAGTCGTAAAACCGAGTAGACAAGCGGTGGTCAAGAGGGTGCTGAGAGTTGACAGACTGACATTCAAGTGGTTTTTCCACCGGTTTGCTGAGCGGACTTCAGGCAGACTTCAGCTGTGTGGAGAGCGACGTTGAGAAGCAGTCATTGGTCGCGACTAATTAGATTTTTGAAAGTAAGCTTTGTTAAGATGTTCTCAAACCGCCCCTCCATGGTAGGCATGCAGTCTTGATTCTGCCGTTCAAATGAATGCACAAGGCCTATTTCCGTGGTTATGACTCAAAACTGTAGTCAGTGAGGAGCTCATTCGTATGTCCGCATTGCAGCCGACAGCCAGCGCTACGGGACATACTCGTCCCTCTTTTAGCCTTTGAGCTCCTTCTCTGAAGCGGCCCAGCGCTTAGTATTACATCATCGACAAAGACACGGGTAAGGTTATCGACCAGCCGTACCCAGCTGCAGGCATTCGCAACCCCTGGCCGGCTGGTGACGGCTAGTATGCCAGAAATGGTCATTCAAGTCACCCTTGTCCTTGACGACCAGAACAGTCGTATCGCCGATGTCTATACCGGCCTTTCGATTTGACTAGCCAACTGTTTCCAAAAATGAACAGGCAAGCGGCAGTCAAGAGGGACAGAGGATGTATGACTTAGAGAAGGCATCCACTGGGAAACTCACCAGTACGATCGCATTGTAATCAAGAGGCGGTGATGTGCTTGCGGTTGAATTTTGTAGTATCTAATGTAGCTAATTATCTAATTATTTTTGTAAAGAATGGGGCGGACACTCGGTAATCTTCCCGACTGGATCTAAACTTGTCGAACCGGTTACTCGATCGATTCAAGTAACCAGTGGCCGGAGCAACCTGATCTTATTGTAGTTGTGTCATGTTCATCTGACAGTTAGATCATTCGTCTGATGAGTGATGTAGAACTTCTGCAGGTGCATTCAGGCCATTCAAAATACTCCCGAGACCGGCACAGGCGCTGACTTCTTTGTCCTCCACCCCTGAGGACCACTGGACATGCGTACAGCGCTCGGCAGAGCGAAGCGAAGCCACTTTCCGCAACTGTCGACAGCCCTTCTCACCGCGGGCTCCAGCACGTGCGGACGCGGACTTACATTGAAAAAAAAACACAAAGGCTTTGCTAGTTTCACCCGTGCGCGCTTTTTGTCGGTCTTGGGGGAATCGGCAGTTGTGGGACCCCTTCCAACACAACATCCGCTGAATGGTTGCAGCGAGTAGCTGACAAGGGACATTACCTTGAATCCAGATGTTTCTTTGGCTGCCTTCTTGTTAGGACTCAAAAAGTTGTACAAAGACGCACCCTCGGAGGACCGGCACGGGCCGGCTTTTCGATTTGACAAGTCGTAAAACCGAGTAGACAAACGGTAGTCAAGAGGGTGCTGAGAGTTGACAGACTGACAGTCAAGTGGTTTTGCCACCGGTTTGCTGAGCCCTGACGACTCACGGCCAGCGGACGTCAGGCAGACTTCAGCCGTGTGGAGAGCAACGGATAGGGTCATGTGTCCTCCAAGGAAAAAAGATAGTTGAGTCACTATTGACAATTTATACACTCCAATACCAATACGTGCGCGTTTCAATTGAGAGCCAGTGGTGTGCTTGCGGATGCAGTTGATAGCGGTGATAGAAGTAGTTGAAGTAGCGTCAGTAGTAATAGTAGTAGTAGTAGTAGTAGTAGTAGTAGTAGTAGTAGTAGTAGTAGTAGTAGTAGTAGTAGTAGTAGCAGCAGTAGTAGTAGTAGTAGTAGTAGTAGTAGTAGTAGTAGTAGTAGTAGTAGTAGTAGTAGTAGTAGTAGTGGTAGTGGTGGTAGCAGTGGTTGTGTAAATACCGCGATCAAGATTGGAGAGTACTTTCGTTAATCTCTCAGACTGGATCGAAACCTGTCGAAACGGTATTCGATCGATTCAAGCAATCCTAGACCGGATTAACCTGATCTCACTGCACCCATGTCTTGTTTATCTGACTCTAAAATTGTCAGTTCTACTTTTATGAGATTGATGTTCATAAAAATCTTGTAAAACTTCTGCAGGTACATTCAGGCCATTCAAAATACTGCCGATACCGGCACAGGCGCTGACTTCTCTGTCCTCCACCCCTTCTCTGCCGCCACGCCTCCAGCTCTTTCTCCCTCAGTCATTGTTTGCCTGAAAAAGGCTGGGAATAATTTATCTGCACACAGGCAACTCGGGCAACGAGGTGTGCGGCAGACAAAAAGAACTTTGAAAAAGTCGACGAGTGAGACCCGCCTGCAGCAGCGAGGAGAGGCCAGCTGGAAGTGTTCACAGAATCGGTGAATTCAATGCCGACCTCCTCCTCCTCCTCCTCCTCCTCCTCCTCCTCCTCCTCCTCATCATCATCATCATCATCATCATCATCATCATCATCGTATTCAGTCATCGAATGGGCCCGACTAATCTCCGTACTTCATACAAATGAGGCTGAGAAAAACACCAGGGCTTCCGACGTTCTGCGACGAGACAGTGGGGGTGGAGGTGGGGATTGCCGGTGCATTTGTAAAAATAATATTTGCATAATGCGATATGGCTGCAGCTGAAGTTAGCTCCTTTGTTGGACTGAATGACTAGCTTTTCGCTGAGGGATGGACCAGATTTTTTGCCGTGATAACCATTCAGAGGGAAGTGGAGGCATTCGCTGTATGAGTGTTTCACCTCCCTTCGAAGTTTAAGCTAAGAATCGCATTTTCATTAATAGTGATGCATACATTTTTTCTCAAAACCTGAATGGTCACACGACAGTTTTGGCAGATGGAGTTAAACTCTGATAACTTCAATGGAATAAATGCATACATTTCTCCACCGCAGACTGATCATTAATATGCATTTTGGTCGTGCCAAAATGCTTTCGTTAGAGGCGATGTATATCGGAAATTCATTGCTGTCGACTATTTCTGTGGTTCGATCCGACCACGGTGACATCAGACCAACTCTTTTGGCATTTATTGCGCCCGTATTGGAGAAAAAGTACGAGAACGGCCTCTACTCTTTTTTTAATCGTTAACAAGCCATACCCCAACCACAGGATATGGCGATATGAAATGTGAGCCGTGTGCGATCTGGCTATCCGGCTCCATCCTCTACCAGAACAGAACGTGTGTGTGTGTGTATGGTGTTGACTAGTCTCACCTGGTTGGCGGAGGGTAAAGAGTTGTTCTATTTGGCTTTGTGGAGACCACGCAGGTTTGCTTATAGCACCCGACGATGTCCACAGCGTGCCCCAAAGCAAAAAGGGTGACTTATGCGTGGCCTAGTTTGTAGTGAGTGCAGACTTGCGCCGCATCTACCGCACTCTCTCCTTGATCACTTGAGCCCGGTGTCAAAACAAAGTCTAGAAGACTGGAGGCGGGGGGAGGGCGCAGGCGGATGGCACGGCCGAGCCCGCACCTTGACGTTCTACTCCGAACCCCCTGGCGCACACAAAAAATGACCAGGATTCTAGCCAACAACAGCAACACCACAGCGGGTCGGAATGAGGAAGACCTGTATACCCGGCGTGGACGAAAGCGCACCTACAGGCTGAGAACCAGTGTCGGCGCATACCAGGCTGCGAGGGCCATGATTTGGTGATCCCGGCATGCTGGGAGTGAAATCTCTCGTTTTATCGGTGAATGCATATATCAAGCGCCCGTCTCCACACATCGGATCTGGCCGAAGACAACGTGCTGTTCACCAGAGTGAGAGATCTTCACTTCGAAGGACGACTGAATGGATAAAGCGTGCTCTGTCCGGTTTCGGGGTTCTCGTGGCTTCGAAATCAGGCTCCACTTTGAACAGAGTCCTGGTGCCACTTTCACAAAGTAGTTATTCCAAGTCCTATTTTCTGAACTGTACCCGGAAGGTATTCACCACAGTTAAATCAGAGAAGGCGCATCCCACCGCACTAGAGGACTGTTTATTATGACCTCAACTTCAGAGTTACCCGGAAGCTGGCACCCGACAAACTACTGAGGCAGTGGATTTGCCTCTAAGCAGCTATTGTCCGTCGTTTGGCATGTGATGCCGATTGGATCCCGTATGATCAGGCCACCGGCTGATCGCGTCAGTCACTCATTAGGGTCAAACATTGGGGAAGAGGAACTTCGTCAACGAAAGCTCAATGCTGTTTAGATCGTTTGCGCCACCAGTTCGCCTAACGTGCCCACTAATGGCTTTCATCCACGTAGAAGGGACTGAGAGAATATCTGACATTATAAACAGGGAAGGGAACGATCTGTTTGCCTGAAGTTCATCTAATTGGTCCGCGCAAGTTTACTTCCTCAAGACCGTCGACTGACTGTCATGGTGGTGGCGGCGGCGGCGGCGGCGGCGGCGGCGGCGGCGGCGGCGGCGGTGGTGGTGGTGGTAGTAGTAGTATGTAGTAGTAGTAGTAGTAGTAGTAGTAGTAGTGGTCATTTTCCTGGTGATGATTGAGGTGGCATGTCAGCCGGTAGGACAGTCTGCAGGCTGGGAAGGCCACGTCAAAGCTGATTGTTCGGAGGGAGACGAGAGCAGTGGGTTTGTGGTCAGTCAACCATTTGGTGTCCGCTGACTGGCTCAAGTGAGCCTCGGTCTGAAGACAGTATATGGGGCGGGCCAGGTCACGCCTCGAAGTATGCTAGAAAACATTCCGAAGACAGAAATGAGAGCGGAAGTGTTAACAAACGGATAGGGTCATGTGTCCTCCAAGGAAAAAAGATAGTTGAGTCACTATAGACAATTTATACACTCCAAATAACATAAACTTTCTGTCTAAATGGTTCAGAATGATTCAGTCAACTGGAGGAGGAACATATTACATCTACTTTAACGTGAAAAGCCGCCTTCATGAGGCCTTAAAAGGGCGCTGCAAGCAACAAGTTTGACCAGTTTCATCCTTTTTTCCGATGCCGAGTAAAACACTACGTGAAATTCACTCCCTCTGCTTAAAATTCTGTCGACAGATTTGTATGGATGACTAGGATGAGTGCATTCATTTTGTTTGGTTTAAGGAGTTATAACCAAATGCGGTGTTTATGTGAGCGAATCTAGAGGTACATCCGTGCAGTAGGGAGTTTTAGCGTGACTGAAGTGTGGACCCAAAAGCGACTGCACTGCGAGTTTGCTGATCCCAAATGCGTTTACCGGGCTGTGCTAGCTCCGTGCAAGGCACTAACGATTGCCGTACACGTGTGTGTGGCACGCCTTAGGTACAGGCCTTCTTGCCGCGCCAGCCACCATGTGCAATCGCGTAGATAGTCAGCTTACCAGATCTGCCCCATTGAGTTCAGTCTCTCTCTCTCTCTCCCCTTCCTGAATTGTTTGTCGTTAATTTTACATAGGTGACTAGGGTGAATGCCTCCGCTTTGTTTGATTTCCGAAATTATGATCAAATGCGGTGTTTGCTTGAGGGAAGTATGTCCATGCAGCAGTGAGTTGTAGCGTTGCTGAAGTGTGGCCCCAAAAGGGACTGCACTACAGGTGTGCTGGTTCCAAGCGGAGCCAGCCCTGCTCACGGCACGCGTTTATCTGGTTGCGCTAACTCGGTGAGAGGCGCTAACGATTACCCTGCACGCAGGCCTTCTCGCCACGCCAGCCACAATGCGCAATCGCATAAATAGTCAGTTGGCAGTTGATTGGACAG